GGTTTACAGTGGCTGTTGTTGGGTAACGATGGGAATGCTGATCAATATAATAACTGATATCATGGGCAAAACGATTATTTTTAAGGTCAAATATGAACAAACAAGTGTGAAGTTTGCAGAGTTTGTTAATGTCGAGGATGTCAAGCTGTTGAAAGAGAGGTGCAGAGTGCGTATATAAATCAGAGAAGGTAATAAGTCGTACAAGCTTCTTTTGTAAACGTAGAATTGGTTCAAGTAAAGTGGGGTAAGTATGTCCCCATATTTCAATACAATATGTTAGGTGCGGGAGAATTAAACTATTGTATAACAAAAGGAGGATAGATTTTGGCACATAATGTCGAATACGTGATATAATACCAACTTTTGAACTGATTATTTTACTTATTTTCTCAATATGAGATTTCCATGTCAGGGATGGGTCGATGGTTACACCCAAATATGTTGTAACCGAAGCACCCTCTACCCATGTACCATCTATATATATTTTACCTTCCACATTAATATGGCGTTGGGATATTTTCAAAATCATATAATTTGTTTTTTGCACATTAATTGTAAGTTTGTTGACCATGCACAACTTTGTTGTAGTCTTCATTTATTATGTCGAGGTCAACAGTCTGGCTTTTCAGGAATTTAAAAACAGGTTTGTATCGTCAGCGAACAGTCGAAAGTTAAAGGCGTCAGTCGCTTTATCGATGTCGTTAATATAAATAAGAAAAAGTATTGGACTCAAGATGGACCTTTGGGGAATTCCTCACTTGACCGTATTGGAGAATGACGAAGTACCATTGATATTTACGGCCTGGTGACGGTTTTCAAGATAACTACGAAACCAAAGAAAAGGAAGACCCCTAATATTATAGTATGTCAGTTTTTGTAAAAGAATGTCGTGGTCGATTGTGTCAAAGGCTTTTTTTAGGTGGATGAAAATACCAAAAGTAATAATCCCTTCATCCATGCTATCAGTGACTTCCGAGATTAAATCAGCAAGGGCGAGCTTTGTGCTGTACTTTTTACGAAAACCGTACTGAGTATTTAAAAGAATGTTAAATTTGTTGAGAAATGCTATAAGTTGATTTTTAACCAGAGATTCAATTATTTTACTAAGCACGGGCAATACTGAGATTGGTCTATAATTATTTATATAAGGCAAATCCTTTTTCATAAATAGGTGTAATTTTAGCATATTTTAATACATCCGGGAATTTGCCTTGGGTCAGAGAGCAGTTGACAATATGTGTGAGTGGACCGGAAATGATATTAATAGCGTCAATCACAAATCTTGGATATATGTAGTCATATCCCATGGTTTTTTGGGGGTTCAAACAATCAATTTCCTTTATAATATCATATTTAGTGACTGGATGGAAAAATAATGAGTTGGGGTGATTTCCTGACAAATATTCATTAAACTTAGTGGGCGTTGTTATTTTCGCTGCAAGATTGGGTCCTATAATGGTAAAGAAATTGTTAAATTCAGTTGCAATATCAAAGTTTTTTGATAATAGTATGTTTTTATTGTCGTTGGCCATAATATTTTTAAGTGATGTCATGCTAGTCTTTTTATTTAATAATTCATTAACTGTCATCCATGTTTTGTTCATATTCCCACTGGCAGACAAAAATCGTGTATGGTAGTATTTGTTTTTGGCTGACTTAAGCAATTTTGTCAAGATATTATATTATATTGTTTATATTTATTTCGAATTTCATCATTATTTGGCAATCTTTTCATTTTACAATATAATTTAAATTTTGATTTAGTTGAAATAATTAGTCCCTTTGAGTACCAAGGTTTACGTATCGGGATCTTCTTTGCACTAACTTGGATTAATGGGGCGTGTTTTTAATAGTACCTAAGAACAAGTCGCAAAAGGTCGCATACGCATAATTACAGTTGTCTGATAGAGGGCGTGTGTCCTGACCACTGTTACGTACAGGAGTGGTGATGAAAAAGACGCTGGAGCAGAACTGAGGAAAACAGTTTTATTTGAACATAAATACTAACTGAATTCGTTCTCTTGGCATCTGTGGATACGGTTATATTCCCACGGCACAGTGAGCTGGTGGCAGTATTTCTTCTCTCAATTAACATTTTTGGATATTGGACTTTGAGAAGAGCAGTAGTAAATAAAAAGAGGGCAAATATTAGTGTGATGTTCGTTATTGTATACAAATTAATAATTTCGATTATTACTGTTGCTTCTTGATGACGCGGTGTTACGTAAATGGGTGCAGAGAACACAAGCGAGAAAGGTATAACTTTGAATAAGAAAAACACAACTGTGAAAACAACAGTTTTGCTCGATTTTTTAAAAAGTTAAATTGCCTAAAATCCGCATAATTTGTAGCCGTGACGTCATCAGTGCTAAGGGGTGTCGGGCCTTTCTCGGCCACACGTCGTACTTTTTCTCGGGACATCGCATTGACTTGACAAGCCCCTGTTGTACACATCATCGATTTCGTTTTTATGTTTTAGACTGAGGTTGCATCCGAGTAAAATCCGCCGGAGAGGGCGCACTAACTATCGCTCACCACGCCAGGCGATGGTCGTTCGTAAATATATTTTTAAAGATTTATATAAAGATTTAATGTTAACGGAAGCATTCACGATTGGGGTAATGATATTAACGGAATGAGTCATTAAAATGTGATTGGCAAATGTAACTTTAGTGGTCAGGGTTTCAACGACTTCAAGAAAATATAAAAATATAAACTACGTGTTTGTATCGTAGTGAAATGAAAAGAGTGGGAGCAAGCAGTGTTGCTGCAGCCGGTAAATATCATTGTGACTATGTCTAGTATCCCAGTAAATGTTATTGTGACTATGTCTAGTACCCCAGTAAATGTCATTGTGACTATGTCTAGTACCCCAGTAAATGTCATTGTGACTATGTCTAGTACACCAGTAAATGTCATTGGGACTATGTCTAGTACACCAGTAAATGTCATTGTGACTATGTCCAGTACACCAGTAAATGTCATTGTGACTATGTCTAGTACACCAGTAAATGTCATTGTGACTATGTCTAGTACACCAGTAAATGTCATTGTGACTATGTCTAGTACCCCAGTAAATGTCATTGTGACTATGTCTAGTACACCAGTCAATGTCATTGTGACTATGTCTAGTACCCCAGTAAATGTCATTGTGACTATGTCTAGTACACCAGTAAATGTCATTGTGACCATGTCTAGTACCCCAGTAAATGTTATTGTGACGTCTAGTACCCCAGTAAATGTTATTGTGACTATGCCCAGTACCCCAGTAAATGTCATTGTGACTATGTCTAGTACCCCAGTAAATGTTATTGTGACTATGTCTAGTACCCCAGTAAATGTCATTGTGACCATGTCTAGTACCCCAGTAAATGTTATTGTGACCATGTCTTAGTACCCCAGTAAATGTTATTGTGACTATACCCCAGTACCCCAGTAAATGTCATTGTGACTATGTCTAAGCACCCCAAGTGAAAGTCACTGACTA